ATTTTAAATTGTTGCTAAGCCTATTATAGCATGTTTCTATCAAGATTTGAATTTAAGATTATTTATTGACTAAAAAAAACAATCAATTTTGTTAGAAGTACTTTCTATATATTCTTATCTTATATCAAAAAAAAATGATGCAACTTTTGATTAACAACAAATAATTTTTTTGAAAGTATAGTTATTTTATCTTTAAATGATAAAATTAATATTAATAATTGATTCAACATTTTTTTAAGTTAATTCAATAAAGTATATTTTTAAATCTTCTTGTTTATAATATTAAAAATAATTTATCTAAATTATATGATACTTTTAAGTTTGAATTTAAGAAAAATATATTTTATTTCAAGGAATATTTATGTATTCTAAAAAGTAAAGCATAATTATGTGTTCTATAAACTTGACATATTTTTTTCAGCTATAGGACATATTAGATAAAGAGACTGAATTTATATCAAGATTTTAGACAATTCTTTTCAAGATATTGAAAGTGGATATAAAACTATCTTTCTCTTCTCAATCTAATAAACAAATAGAACATGTAAAGCAAATTTTGAAGCAATATTTAAGATGTATCATTAATTACCATCAAAATGTTTAAAATCTCTTTTGTTATTGGAACTCAATTTTGTTGTTGTGTTGATATACTAAGCTATCTTTCTTTGAAAGCTTTATACGCTTAATAGTCTTCAAATTACTTAAAAGATTTTATTTCATAAGGCCTTTAAAAAAACTCTAAATCTTATATAGGGCTATTGCTCAAAATTCCAAAATCCAATTGAAGCATATTCTATATTATAATCTTAAATTAATTTTTATTAAATAAAAAAATAATATAGTAAATACATAAAATAAAAAAATATAAAATCATATTTACTTTTATATAATTAAATTAAAATTGATAATATTATATTATAATCTAAAATAAGTATTGGAGATTCTTTTGCCTTTTTAGCCAAATTTGACAATTTTTGGTCATGGAACTCTTAGCCATTGATTTATTAAAGCGCATTAAATCATAATGGCATCCTTTTTAGTGCATAATTATATTAATATCTATAATTAATATATAAACTTGAATAATATATATTTTTAATTAGTATGATATATACTATTTATAGGATATAGATTCTTTAATAATGATACATACTATTTGTAGGATTATCTTAGATAGATGTTTTACATTATATAGTCTCTCTTCAATTGTACACCCCTTTGGTTGAGTTTGTTAATTCTTACATCACTTATTTACAAGAAATGACTCTAAAGGTTTAAAACTAATTATTAGGTTTTATCTAGGTTGCTTTGCTTCCACTAGGATAGAATTACCTCAAACTATTTCATGAGATGGATCCTAGTTCTTGTCATTACCAAATGAGTTGAAGAAATTCTTTATCACTATTGCTCCAATCCACCTTAATTCCCTTCTCCACCTCTAAATTGTAGCCGACATATGTCCCCTTACTAGTAGAATTCCCTTCCACTCACATCAACATTGCATCATTGGCAAACTCACCTCAAGCTTGAAACTTGGGTGCCTACTCAAAAGAGTGTGGCCACCTGAGGAGGTGCACGGACACAAGGGGCCAGATAGAATGGAAGTAAAAGTGACCAAACATGTGTGATGCAGCTTCAAAGGAGTTGGACTGAAAAGAATCCACAGGCTCACGGCATCCCCTCCTCCTTTACTGCTGCCTGCGAAACATTCCATTGCTGCTCTAAATGGTCCCTATTCCCACATCTGCATCACCCAGGCGTACATCATTCTCCTTTCTCTCTCTCTCTGTCTCTATCAGCTGTCAACATGCTTCGGCCACCAGCTGACGTTGCACGCATCACGCTCTGGCATCCTTTTATCATGATCCTGAAGCCCAAGGTTCGTGGAGATCACAGGACTCGTTTCAAAGACAGGAAAGCGTCTCATATTCGCATGTGGGGGCATCTTTTTGGAGCTCAAGTTGTTCCACACATTGCCGAGTCCAGAGCACTGATAAGAAAACAAACTGGTCTCACCTGAGCACACTGAAGTGGTCTCTATTGCCAAGGCCATCAATGTGTTAAAGTTGATTGCCCTGAAGAACCCTTCCAAGTTGAAGCTCTCGATCAATCTGGAATGTAACGTGAATGCACAATAGAATAAGAAGTAAGTAGAAGAGAATAGCACAAGTTTGATTATATCCAAGGACATCTTAATGAATAAAATGTTTACAAACCCAATCAAAAACATTGAATTTGAAATCCTACAGAAAGCACATCTTTTTTTCAACAAACATTTACATTTAGAGATCAATGCAAAGATTGAGGTGGATGAGGCAAAGCCAACAGTAAAAGGCTTAAAAAAATGACTATTCCAAATTAACTACAACATGCAACCATTGTGTATAACTGGTTGGGTTGTTGTGGTGGCTTATTTCAATGTAGAATTAAACCACATCCTTTCAAGTTAAATTTTTTTAAAAAGTAAAAAATCCTCTCGCCCTGAATAACTTAATCCAAGCTTCGTATCCACCACTAAAGTTCAGATTTGGATGACTTGGCTCCCAATAAGCATTTGATTCCCACGCCTGATTTCAGTTTCTCAACCGGATTCCCATTCCACCTTTGCCTCATCCACCTGAATCTCTGCATTGATCTCTCCTTTATAAAGAAACAAACCTACAATGCTCTTGTCCATCCTCGGAAGATGTTCACTCTCCATGTCGAACCTTTGGAGGAATTGGGCTTCCACTTTCCCTTCCGATGGAATTCGAGTTTCTTGTGCTCAGGCTGCTCCTTAACTACAGTGCTACTTCCGAACTCCGAGGGTCCATCTGGCTTCAAGTGAACCCAGTAACCAAGTGTGCATACAGTGGTTCATTCTGACACAACCCAACTGTCGCAGTTGCGTCGTCAAACTTGAACTAGTCAACCTCTTCACTGCAATGGCATATCGCAGCGATCACTACCCGGCCTGCTCAGCAGACCTCGTACGCTCAACACAGGCTTCCAACTCCTGGCCAGTTCCCAAACCCATCTAGCACTGGACAAGAGGATGGCGCCCTAACCTCTAGTTGTGTCCGGCGAACATTCTTTCGCAACAATGATGAGTTAGTGGAGTGCTGTGTGCTTGCGCCAGGTACCACATCAACTGAGCCACTTCCTCGCCCCAATATTGTTTTACACTTTTGTGCACGTAGCCGAACAGAAAACCGAACAGTTTGACGTGTTCGAACCTCGACAAAGCGAGCTGGGGTTGTCCGAGGCCCACGTGGGCGCCGCGCCCGGGCCTCCCCGTGCATCAGCAAGCAGCATATAGACGAGGGGCGGCTTGGTGATTCTCCACACTCATCCAGTTCCATCGCCTTTCGTTTGTCGGATCCCAACTGTTTGTCAGAGCATCCAGACTGCAGGCCGATCAGAACCTGCGTCTTCGCCCTTTCACGTCCTGGTCGATAGCTTCCGTGGAATCTCTACAGCGCAGGAGCATGGCGTCTTTCGAGAGGAGCTCTCTGGCACCCTTGTTGTTGGTGGTCGCCGTGCTGGCGGGGACATGTGCTCCGATCGTCTCCGCGTTGTGGGCAAATGGCCTGATGGTAGGAAACGGCTGCCACAAGCCAATCGAGGTCGTCGTGGCGTTCAAACACCATCGGCCAGACGAGACGCTACATGTGGATGCAGGCAAGAAGGAAGAGCTGAAATCGACGGTGCTGATAAAGCATGTGGACTACATCGAGTTCACCATTTACAAGAAGGAGTACTATATCAAGCACGACGACTACTTCCATCTGTCCTCACACACTGCTGTCTTCTCGAAGATTTCGGTGCTCTGCGATGCCCCCAAGCCCTGCGGGCATGCGTTCATTACCGTGAAAATTACTATCTGGGATCTGAAGAAAGAGATTACGGAGACGATTTGCATTAAGAAATGAAAGGCCTGGAGTGGTGCCGCATTACGTACAGGAGTTCAACGGTCCGCATGCTACTGTAGGACGTATGGTGGATGAGTAGCCGTGACTTGAGCAAGGGGTATGCGATTCAAAATCGGCACTGTTGTGACTGCGTTGGAACACCAACAGTCTCATGAGTGGGGTGCCGGTGGAATGCAATTCCTGAAGTGCTACGATTGCATTGTGTGTCAATGTAACTGGTGTTTTGTCCAGCTGAAAATAAAACATGTCATGCCTCTAATCACTTGTGTCCTTTTCGCTGGTATAACGCCACTCACACTGGGGGTTATTGTATGGCATTATGTCATAAAATCGTTGTCTTCCTCACTTTTCAGGTCATAATAGCTAATGCATCTTGCTTCAATCTCAATTTTTTTTATGGTTTCGTTGATGGAAGAAGAGTCCATTCTGACAATCTAACAAATAAAATGCCTCCAAGAGCCGCAACTGTCAGGATTGTAGAGCAAAAACATGCCTCTTTAAACCCTCTTCTACTACCTACAGAGGACAAGGTCTTCAAAACATTCGACACGATAAAATTTTACTACAGCCAATGCAACCACAAGAAGAGGTAGACGTCACACCTTTTAGCATCCCTACTGTGGAACAAAATAACTTCTCGAGTACAGCTTTAAACTCCATCACAAAAGTTCGATACATAGCCTAGCTCCATGTCTTTCACCAACTTTCTGGAACAATTTTGTGCACCACTGTCAAGGGGGAAAGTTAGAAGAGTTTTTCAATGCATTTTGAGCCTCTTGATGCTTTACGACTTCAAGGTCAACTCCTAGACCATCTTTTTGCCACTGCTAATTAACCTTATATTCAGAAGAATGAATAAAATTTAATGAAGAATTTCGTCCTTCAATACAATACGTGCCTATCTGCAGTTGTACTGGGAATTAACGCAAAAAGTACCCTTCACAAGAAGAGCTTGGAGTAGGATGAGCAGATACAAACTCTTCAATAGATTGTGCGGCAAAATAGAAGTAAAAGAGTTAGGAGGGGAGGCTTTGGGCAGAAGTCTGTCAAAAATAAGTTCTCAATCATGTGTTGGAACAGCATACCAAATATAAAAGTGCATAAACTATTGTGACCAATAATTTCACAAAATACACTTGTGCAAGTCGACTGAACCTAAATGGCTTTCTGAGATGGATTTCCCTTTGCCAGCCATGTGCCTGTATTTGTGTCACATTTGCACACTTGGGGTGCGCTTAGTATTCTAATATCAGACCGACTGCTACATATGAAACGTAAAGTCCCACAGATCCATGAAACTTGCCTCTCATCAGTACCGAAGATCATTGAGGCATCGGCTGAAATGTTGGACCATATTACCAATTATAGCGATAGTATAACTGAATTTCCTGCAAGATAAGCATAAAGACTGAAGAGCCAAGGGAAAAAAACAATCAATTACATTAGAAACAGGGAGCGCCTCCAGTTATCAACGTATACTCTTGTTTGCGTTCAAGACCCCAGCCATTCTTGCTCATCGACGGTGTCATCGCCTTTGCTCAGAGTGCTGAATTCGTGTCTATTATGTTCTCACAAATGTCATATCAAGTCGGTACGGATTCTATCTAAGATTTTCAAGTAATTTCTGAAGACGGATTTCCAAACTGGCGCTCGGAAAAAGGAGAATTATTCATGTTGATAACTTTAACGTATGTTTACTCTGTGCACAAATTGGAATATTCAAACTCATGATTTAATGAATAAAAGACCTGCAAGTTCCAGCGTCAACTGACTATTAACATTTAACTTAACTGACCAATTCCGATCTGTAGTTTCCATAGGTTCGGAGAGTAAATCTTCTCCAAACTCAAGTGCTGCAAATTTGAAGGTTTCAGTCTCCACAAGATTTTCAGTGCCCAGAGGTACCCATGCCAGGAGCTCAAATACTATGACCTCAACTGTAGCCACATATGATTCTCGACATGCTGGTTTCCAATCGGTTCTGGTTACTGGTGCCAGTACTGGCTTTGAAAATGTACTATAAGGAGCGTAAGCCATGACCTACATAGCAAAATAGCGTCAATAAACATCCACATTGGAATAAAAAAAGTCATTTTTTTACAAATCGACATGGTCTTACACCTGATCACTTGGTAGTGGTTGTTCAGTTAGGCTCAGAAGATAAGTACAAAAATTGGAATAAACAAACTAAACAAAAAATTAAAAAGAGCATCAACCATCTGGAATAAAAGATACTGTGAGTCACCTAACGAGCAAGAAACATATGGTATTTTAAAGAATCGGCAGCTTACCTCAACAATATGTGAGGGTCCGACAGCTGTGATGGAGAAACGGCTATCAAGTGGTGAGATTTCTACGCTCTTAAAGAGAATCCCCAGATCGTTGGTTCGAAAGTCTAATTGCAACTTTGGAGACCGACAGCCCAACACAAAAATGAGGGGTGTTTTCAATTTTTCATTTGGAGTCTCGAAGTAAGCTCCAGCAAAACAAACCTACAAGCCGATTCTCATGTTGAGCAATTGCAATGAAATTAAAAGCTACGTTGAAAAAAACTTCAAAGCATAATTTTTGCACATTCCGAGAAAAAACAGTACCTGTGCGGTGTTATCAGGAGAAAACGCTTGCAACCAGACATGCCCAGAAGGAAAGGTATGGCCCCAATTTTTTTCCACATGCCCGAATGCGGAACCTTCGTAATGAATCCCTTTTTCCGGATTTGAGAAAGAATAGTCCACAGCAGATCCCAGACTGCACACATACCAGTGGGTGGGAAGAATTGACAAATATCGTGCCCAACCTTCTGGTCCCTTTTCAGATTTATGAGCATCCCACAGCAGCTGCACCAAGTTCATTTTCTAGCAAATTAGATCGACAATGCAGTGTTGAATCGCATTGTAAAGGTTAAAAATGACAACACCAACGAGTGTGCAAGTAAGCATCCCATTGGTGAAAGAAATTTGACAGATACTTATTCCCAGATTAACTATTTAGTGGATCACGAGAGTGGTCCGAGTTCAGCATAGTACATTTCTAGAGTTAACAATGTGACATTCAACGTCAATTTTGTGCGCTTCTGATGGAAAGGTGTATTGCCGAGTGGATGCTGACCTCTTTTGTCAAGTGGGCTTTGAAGTTGTAACCCTTAACGGTAAAGTCAAGATCAGTAACGTGCGGGTAAGAGTAATACGCCCTACTCCAGGGGCCTCCCATTCAAACCCTTTAGGCTTTACTTCAAGCTTATCCCCCCATTCCTGATCGTTTACTGTTCGCTTAAGCTTGGCGTCCGGTCTCATTCCACTTTCGTTATTGGAAAGAATAAAAGTCAATTCTCTTTGTACATACCACATTTAACTCATTCACTAAAGCTCCGGCGTGTCGGTAGACGATTCCAAAAGCAGTAAAAATGCACACGCATTTAAGCATTGACAGCAAGCGTGACTAGGAATTCAACCTTCGTCTTAACATCAAAAGCATAAGTGTACCCATACTTCACTGCATCTCTGCTTCCTTTGCCGTCCATGCCCTTCCCTCGAGCGAACAGGATTGTTACCTGACTCTCATCTGGGGCGTAGTTCGTGGCCATAATCACTGCCGCGCTGAACTCCTGTTTGGAATCCCATATCCGCACACACCACCCTTCAAAGGACGGGTAGGGTCTCAGAGCTTCCGGCATTAATCTACTCCAAGTCGGCTTGTGAGGGTCCAAGGGGTGTGTCTGCGCAAATTGTAGCTCATCAGACAATGTGGGGACCAACTCCCAATCCATAATTTCCTCTTTCGTCTTCGTCCCTCCCCCTCTTTTCATCTCCGTGAAGACTTCGTTCTCGCAACTCGCTTTCTGCTTCTCCGCGAAACCGACTCAGCTTTTGTCACGCGATCCATATACATCGTCCTCCCTCAAAACATCATTTGATATAACTTCAACCACCTGTTTCCTTGTCACTGGATTCAATCTTGGTCCCAACCCCATCAAAATCCGCCTCAGCCCGAAACTTCTTCCCCAGTTCCCATCCGCGCGGATTCAAATTCTGTTCAAGAAATGACATCTTCCCTCCCATTTCAACGAATGACCAATCTCACACCCACGCGACGAGAAAAGAATACCCCAAAATGAACCTCAAATCTGGGCAAGTACGAGATTCTGAGCTCTGTTCACGACAATAGAATGCAAGCCTGTGCATGTGCATGACAACAAACAGTACCAACACCTCTGTAAGTAAAATATTCTTCCGCTCTCGTAAGTAAAATCCTAAAACTGGAATGTTTTTCCTGGCTAATCCAAGCCCCTGCGTACACTGGGACGCGCACAAGTGGCAATGTGTCAGAACCAACCCGCAAAAATTATCACGCATATCTCTCCACTCTCACGGCCATCCCGCAAAAGAAATGCTGAATGGTGCAGCAGCAACAAAACAAGAACAAATCATGAACACACAATGTACAACACTAGTTGTAACATCATCAACGTGGGTGAGAATCACATGTATACATGAAAAAGACCAGCACATTGTGTCGCATGTAGGAAGACGGGCCACGGGACAGAAAGAGGGTGCAATGGAGCACACATCAGTACCATCATCTCGTGTCGCATATGTTACATCCTCAAGCAGCTGGCCCACGGGGACTTTTCAAAGGAGAACGTCACTTTTCGCCCAGTTAATTTCAAAGCTCTCTCTCCGTATAAAACTTTCTGCGAGTCTACAAAAGAAGGCTGCTGGTCGGGGGGAGGAGTGAAGAGTGCGGCAAGTTGTGGATACGAAAGCAGCGGAGGCCCAGCAACGTATGCGTCGAAGGAGGGCAGCACGAAGCTGAGTTGAGTCGACGAATGATGAAGCGCATGAATTTCCACTTTCTGACAATCTGTAACCCAACACAGTGCATGGATCTCGTTTCACAACCGTCTCGACACGCAATCGTGCGCAGAATTCTGCATCCGCGAAATTGCTGCTGCACCATTCATTTCGCGAGCCATAAATTATACCCTCTTTGGCATTAATGAGGAAGAGGCTCCTCTGATTCGGATTTCCTTCCGAGGCCACCAGGTTGACACCGAACATTGGATCGCCGTCCATAATACCCGGCTCCTAGACTGCACGAGTATCTATATCATACGGATATATGAAGGGTATCAGTTTAACTGAAATTCCCTTGCGGGGAATGTTGTGAAAGAGATGTTATCGGTCAAGGTGAGCAACTTGTAGATATTGTTTTTGTACTTAAGAATTTGAATGATTTGTTGCTGATTACAATTTCTATTCATATTATTTGAATTTAGAAACTTGTTTTACTTAAAAGAAGTTGATTTTATTTATTCAATTGGGTTTAATATATGAAATGATAGAAATGATTCAATACAGTAAATTCTCATGAGGTAATCAATTTATTTATTTTTCCTAGCCAGATCCATGCATTGTGGGTTTATAGATTTTTAATCAAAACAATTTATTAATATAAAATTTGGTTAAATTTATATCAAATCAATCAATTAATAACTCTAATAAATGAATAAAAAACAAAAAACTACATTGGATGTATATATTGTTTGTATTATTTACTATATATATAAATATATATATATATATATATATTAAATGACTTAAATCCATTTAGAATTTTTAAAAGATAATTAATATATTTATATAGGGAAATGTTAAAATAGACCTAAGCTTTTACTAAATTAATCCACCTAAGATGAAGAATATGATAATCATAATGAATGTGGTTAGTTTTTATTAGTTGCAGATATCCAGTAGTTGAGAAATGAATTTAGAGATTATTATTTATTTCTTTTCATGATGGTTAGGATGGATGGGTAAATTTAGTAAAATCCTAGGTCTGTTTAAAATTCCTATATATATATATATATATATATTAAGAATGTATAAAAATATAACATTTTTTTTTTTTTTTTTTTTTAGAATTAATAAGGATATAGAGTGGTTTTTTTTGCAAATTTAAACAAAAATTGGAGTTCAAAAAAAATATTAAAAAGATTAAAGATTACTTCAATCTTATATATATATATATATATATATTTATGCAAACATAATGGTTTTATATAAAAGCTTCTTAAGAGCCAAAATATTTCTATAACAAGCATCTAAGTTGCAGGATGTTTCAATAATAACTTTCATAATCTTAAAAATTTCTACAACAATAGTTTCTACAATTACACACTACATCCAAAAACACTTGCAAATCAAATCCACATCTTTAAAACTTTTACAATGTTTTATAAATAATATTTTATCAATCCAAAATATTTCTCCTTATTTTTTATTTATTTGATTTTATATTTACAAAACTGAAACAAAAATTTATTTAAATGTAAACTCTTTTAGGATATGCAAAAATTTATATTTTAATTTAAACTATAAAAACTTCATGATAATTAGTAATTCAAAGTTTTATCTTAGTTAGTTTTGATTGATTCGTTCTATTGTCTAGTTGCCTTCAATCTATCACATATGGTTCGTAGTTTACATCACAATAAATTTTTCTATCTTTGCAAGCATCACAATTTCAATTATTTGTTATGGACTTCGAATAGGATGATACGGCACTCACAATTTAATTTGAAAAAGATTGCTGTTTAACTACAAAGTTGATATCGAATTTATTTAATCACCCAAATTTAACTCGAACCATACATTTTGCAATTCATTGCACACATGCCATTTCTCCAACTGCAAAGCAGACAATTGCGTCAATAATCCTCCCTCCTCTAATCGAAATCTATGGCCATATCCATTCATTAGAAGACAGGTTCTGCTCCCTACTGGCTATTCTTCTACTCACTTCTTATTCTATTGTGTGAATTCACTTTACATTCCAGATTGATCCAGAGCTTCAAATTGGAAGGGTTCTTCAGGGCAATCAACTTTAACACATTGATGGCCTTGGCAATAGAGACCACTTCAGTGTGCCTAGATGAGACCAGTTTGTTTTCTTATCGGTGCTCTGGACTCGGCAATGTGTGGAACAACTTGAGCTCCAAAAAGATGCCCCCACATGCGAATATGAGACGCTTTCCTGTCACTGAAACGAGCTTGTGCAGCTTCACAACCCCTATAAAGCGCTACCGACACCGAAGTAAGCCACCGACACAAGCTCACGCCGCCTCCAAACTCCCTTTGAAGGGAAGTACTCAACATTTGACTGAGAGGATACTGGTGAGGCTGAAATGTGAGTTCACAGTCCTGCGATCTCCACGAACCTTGGGCTTCAGGATCATGACAAAAGGATGCCAGAGCGTGATGCGGGCAACGTCAGCTGGTGGCCGAAGCATGTTGACAGCTGATAGAGACAGAGAGAGAGAGAAAGGAGAATGATGTACGCCTGGGTGATGCAGATGTGGGAATAGGGACCATTTAGAGCAGCAATGGAATGTTTCGCAGGCAGCAGTAAAGGAGGAGGGGATGCCGTGAGCCTGTGGATTCTTTTCAGTCCAACTCCTTTGCAGCTGCACCACACAATGAAGCAGCAGCAGCAGTCTGTGAGGAGATGGACAAAGGTGGCGATCTGGGAGCCCCAGGCATGTGAGGCATGAAGTGGGTGGCTTTTGGAGACATGCTAGACATGTATAATTTAACTGTTGGCCCGTTTTCCTTTCATGGATGCCATTCTCTGATCTAGAATGCCTCATTCATTGATGCTCTTCAGTATCTCCAAGTTTGTTTTTGTTTTGTTGAGTTTGTTTTTACTTTTTTTGACATAGAAATGGGACAGTCTATTGCAGTGGCTCAAGAGTGACCAGAAATAGCAATTCCAGAGGCTTAACAGCTCTTTCTTTTGAGACACTGTAAAGGAGGCAAGAATCAACTAAGTATTATACAATGTAGATGTGAGTCATCTCTTAAGTCTTCATTTCTTACAAGACTACTGTACTTAGTTTATCTAACTTGAAATATTATTTTTTATATTTTTTATTGTAAAATTTCAAGTCTTCGTGTTGTGAAACATTTGGAACAATAAAGATGTTACAAAAATAAACGTAAATAAAAAATAAGGTACGAAATTTAGTGTTGTATAGTTTAAGAAATTTACAAATTAATATGTATGTATGTATATATATATATATATATATATATATAAACACATAAAAAAGAAATATAATATTTACAAAATAAACTTATGATTTTATTGTAAAAAAACTTGTAAATATTATTTGTAATATAAGTTGTTTTAAAAAAAAATATGTATTTTTTATTTTTTTAATAAATTTAAGAATTTCTATTTTTTAGGTAATAAGTGATATTTTTAAATATCATAAGATATTTGTAGTATAATTTTTTTTTATCTTTTCGATATGTTTTGTAAATGCATTTGTTAATAAAGATAATTATACGTGATTGCAATAGCATGATTTTTTTTTTTTATTGTTACTAGATATCTAATCAATTTTATTAGTTTGGACTTATTATACTTAAAGAATTGTAATATTGAAATAAATTAAATTTCTTGAAAATAATTTAAATGAAGAATAGTATAAGGAGTCAAAATAAAATTGCAACTTGTTTATTTTTTTTTGCAATGCTTGATTGTCATTTAAATAAAGATTTTAATAGAATTTTAAAAAATATAGCCAATTTGAAGTCATCTTACATAATTTATACTTGTAATTACCTAAATAAGAGAAGTTAGATAAAAATAAGTAAAAGTAGATAAATTATATAATATCTTATGAAGAAGCTACTTAATAAATTTAGATACGTAGATTTGATATTATATGTGTTTGTAAATAATTGATATGTTTGAAAACTTGGCCAACAAGTTAGCCACATGTAGCACATGTAGAAACTTGGCTTGAAAGTTAGACACATGTCCTTCAAATTGGACATGTGTCAAAGGTCCCACAAATTGTCACCATGTAGCTCTTAATTGGACAGAATATATAAAGTCAAAAGAGAAAACTTCTTTACTCATATCAATGCCCTTCTTATTCTTAGTTTTGTTTCAAGAATCTCAACTTTTTGTCTTTGGAAATAATTTAATGTTAAAATTATACTACCCTTCACTGATTATCTACTATCTTCCAATAACATATATACATATTGAACTTTTAATTGTTTGTAATTCATATCCTTAAAGCTTTGACAAAGATAAACTTCAATATTATAATTAAACATTATTCTTAAAATTATGCAATTTCCATTTGGACATAAAACTTATATGTCATTTAGATCAACACACAATCCAATGCAAAAAACCATTAAATTTATTTTCAGCTGGACAAAACACCAGTTACATTGACACACAATGCAATCGTAGCACTTCAGGAATTGCATTCCGCCGGCACCCCACTCATGAGACTGTTGGTGTTCCAACGCAGTCACAACAGTGCCGATTTTGAATCGCATACCCCTTGCTCAAGTCACGGCTACTCATCCACCATACGTCCTACAGTAGCATGCGGACCGTTGAACTCCTGTACGTAATGCGGCACCACTCCAGGCCTTTCATTTCTTAATGCAAATCGTCTCCGTAATCTCTTTCTTCAGATCCCAGATAGTAATTTTCACGGTAATGAACGCATGCCCGCAGGGCTTGGGGGCATCGCAGAGCACCGAAATCTTCGAGAAGACAGCAGTGTGTGAGGACAGATGGAAGTAGTCGTCGTGCTTGATATAGTACTCCTTCTTGTAAATGGTGAACTCGATGTAGTCCACATGCTTTATCAGCACCGTCGATTTCAGCTCTTCCTTCTTGCCTGCATCCACATGTAGCGTCTCGTCTGGCCGATGGTGTTTGAACGCCACGACGACCTTGATTGGCTTGTGGCAGCCGTTTCCTACCATCAGGCCATTTGCCCACAACGCGGAGACGATCGGAGCACATGTCCCCGCCAGCACGGCGACCACCAACAACAAGGGTGCCAGAGAGCTCCTCTCGAAAGA